ATGCTGGTTATAGGTATACAAAATATTAAAGTTTAAAAATGTTTATAAATCGCTTTAAAATAAAAATATAAAAAACAAAAAATAAGACGAAAAATAAGATGATATTTTTATCTTTACATTTGATAATTGATCAATTTACTGAGACACATTTAGTTTTATTTTCTTAGTTGTATCCGCATAAGTATTTAATCTTTCGATAATGTTACAATCATTGCAATAACTATTTTTTATTTAGTATACTGTAATAATAAAACTAATGATACAAAATAGAATTCACCATATTGTATATTTGTAAGATGCATACAACACATGCGGACAGGAACCACGTCCTGTTATTACTAATAATTCATATTACGATAAATCTATTAAATATGAATAGTAAAATATCTTAATAAACGGTTTTTTATAAATTATAATACGAATACTTTATAGTTTATTTAAATTATATAATTATCTTAAGTTTATGACGTATATGTATTATGTAAGAGAATATGACGTTTCAACAATTAAATATTTAGTTTTGCGATGTATGATTTTAGATTCATCAGCGATTACTTTAATATTATAAATATGTCACATTTAAATATAAATAGAAAATTATTCATTTTCGGCGAACGTAAATAACAGAAGTACAGAACTACATACATATTGTTTCACAGGCGGCAAGCGTTTCGTTAAAAAAAAAAAAAAAATAATTTACTGCTTGGAAAATCATATCAGTACTATTTTTTATGAAGTAAATTTTAATAGAAACTCTTAATATGTAAGTGAATCTAAATTAAATTTTTCACGCAGTCACAGCAATTCACTCTCATTTCACTTACCTAGTAGTGAAAGTAAAAATATAAAATAAATAAAATATCCCTTTCGTTTCGTCTATAATGTTTTTTTCCAATCGTCATAGTTTCAACGTCTATCTCTTCAAAAGCAGTTCAGTACCGGTTTCAACACACAATACACATAATATTAAATTATATTACATGCATTATATACTAACATTTTTTTTTCGCTATGACAAAGCCTTCTTTATAGTAAAGGACAACGTGCCAACTACGAACAGAGACTCGATTTTCGATATCTAGGCACAATAAATAGCAATATATACTATACTCTATTATACATTAATATTATGATCTCCAATAATATACTACGTGATAATTACAGCAGTAGCGTTTATTCAAGTGGCATTTGGCAGTGCGGCTATCTGGCAATTTACCGAACCAGTGGCGAGATGTAATTATTGGACTGCCTGTTTTGTACGACCATTAGCATAATGATGTACCTATATATATATACAATATATATAAATGCTGTTCTCTGGCCCGATGACAAAATGATGTGCCCCCGCCCCTTAACATAAGCTACTCTAGTTAACGCAATAGTTAATTGAGTTACTATTCAAACTATATAATAACTACGAAAATCATCCCGAACAAATACATGTACAAAAGGAGACAGATAATATAATATTATTATGTGAGTAAAAATAGAGACTACCTATATAACAGTAAATCAAACAAATTAATTACGACGAGTACAAATTTATATTTTTTTTTTTATTTTTTTACGAGTTTGAGACATATTTATAATAATTTTATATTATGTATTATTAAATTATAAGATACACGGAAAATTAAATAAATATAAATGTGGTTAAAGAATTCGAAAAAACATAACCATATTGTATATAAGGATATTTACTATCTATAATTTTTAAGATCTTTACGATTATTAACATTTTTAAATAAATAGGAAACTTTAAAATAATATTTAGAATGTAATGAGTAATGACCTTTTCAAAATGAGGACAATTTTAATACATAATTAGTAAAATGCAAATTTAGATCTTAAATAATCTACCAGAGCAGGTTTTCATAATTACTACAAGATCTACACTATCTATAATTTGAATTTCATCATGTACCTATTTATTATAGATATAATACAAGTGCGCTAAACATTGAAATAATAATACATAAAAAAAATACATAATATAACCATTATAAACTTTTACCGGGCCTTTTACTTATAAATTTGTATAAAACTTATTGTATATGAAAATAATAGTTTATATATAGGTACGTAAGTCAACAATAAAATTGTTATTGCACATTAAAAATGCACTTTAATAGGTATATCATTGAATATTTAATAAATTTAGATTTTTTTTTTTTTACACATTCTATGAAAATAAATATATTATGTTGATTTGATTGGTATTAGTACTGAATAGTGAATAATAATGTTAATTTTAATTTAATTGATTTTCGCACAAGTCTAGTAACAACACATGATATTATAGCGTTATGAGATTTTACATTTTCATACCTTAATACAAACGGAAAGTAAATAAAATTAAAAACTAACGATTAATAGTGTATATAACATTTCAAGATTGCGGACGTCTGTGCGTGTATAATACACGGCGGTTAAATATACCTATCGAACGACGTCTCGCGGCACGTTACAACACGTTTAACCAGCATTCGATATTGCTTTATAATATGCACCTCGTATATAATATGTTCCTCGACAAAGTCGTTGTCGACGTTTCGGATTGAATTGCGAGCACAAGTATACACTACATACACGATATAAAAGTGTGACGGTGGCTTTGGCGGTGGAAACCGTGGCGGTTTGCTTTTGTTCAACGACCTATTCAAATTACTCCGGGTTGTAAAAGTCAACGTCGGAATTTCCAAGTGGCTCCCGCTTCAGCCACATATATAACCCCCACCGTCTCACACGAGATGACGAGGTGGTGTGTGGAAACGTGGGTGGTATATAATGTATAGGTACGTATATCGGTCGTCGTTACGATGCGGAGGGAGCAAAAAGCCAACACGAGGATATTTTCAGAACATTTTTTTCTCTTCTCCGTCCTTACACGTCCCCTTCACACAACCATTTCCGAATACACACACTTTAACCCCTGTTTTGCATTTTTATATTCACCGCGCGGCTTACACCATGGCGCGGTAAATCACAGTAGAATTATATTAAATATATATATATGTATACGTATATTATGTAGTATATGAACGTACTACTGCGTTACACACACACAAATGACGACGATCTGCACGACCTCTGCTCCTCGTCGTCTAAAGCCAGAAGACTTCCCGAAAAATACTCTGCACGTTTTGTAGAACCCTCCCCCCACCACACACACACACACACACTAAAAGGTTCCGAGTGTGTCGGCCATCTATTGAATATACCTAAACCTACCTATAGAGCGGCGGCGGCGTACTATTATGTCACACAGTTAGTATTACATTTTATTATAACGCGCTATAACCCAACATACAGAGTGTAGCTAATACCTGTGTAATATTTTGTATACAGAGGGAGCCAAAGGACCGGGTGAACTATACTGCGAAGGACGACCGGTTGTCGCGGCTAGCCGGCCGGCCGGCTGGCTGCTGCGTTCGATATCACACAACCACCACTAGCACCCCCCCACCAACAACTACCAACCACATCAACACCACCGGGCAGACGAGACCGCAGGGCCCGCCGACGCACATCGTTTATTTCACTCACGGTCGTGTATGGCGGTTCGACAATAATGTTATTTACAACACGCGCGTTTCAAAACACGAACTCTATGCATTAATATTGTAATGTGTATGTGATTTCAAGTCACTTTCGCCAGATTTCGGTAAATTCCGAGAGACAGACGAAACGATGAGAATTCGTAGAAAAAAACACGAACAGATTTGGCATAAACATCATATTATTATGTTAATCTTCCTACTCGAGAACACAATGAAATTGATAATATTATGTTTGGATATTATTATATTACATTTAATAAATACAAATACGCAAAAATAGCGTATACCAAAATGATTAGAACGCGCCGAGAAGAGAGACTAAAATATACGATCTCTGACGTTCTCGTTATTACACGGACTGCAGTTTAAAAATATTATAACTCATAACTGTTGTTAAACACACTATAAATAGTAATCGCTGCAATATTAAACACTTATGTAGCAGAAAAATTATTATAAATAACAAAACACAATGGTTTATCTGTAGGAACCTCTATTTTCTAGTCTTCAATAATAACAATAATATTACGACTTTATGATTTATTATGAAAATTATGAAAATTAGCCGTGTTATATTACACGTATTATACTACAATACATATTAATTATTTACAAAATTAAAACAATGGAAGTTTAACAGTTTTGATTAACAAGATATAATTTTTTTTTTTTTTTTTGTAATCGATGGAAAATTGGTCCACGTGAGTGTTAGTTAATTTATAGTGATTTTATTACAGATAGTTTTCGAAACGCGTGTATAATGTTACATACTATATTTATTATTTTGGCCGATCAATTCGCACACCATGCAAACAAAATATAATATAAAACATGTTCCAATACGTATTGTACAACCGCCGTTGTAGGGTGTTTTGCTCGCCACGAGGGTCGACAACGAGAGGGTGAGGGTCGGTGAGAAAAAAAAGAACGCTGTGTTTCGACAAAGACCGCGTGTATAGAATATTCTCGGAGTTTTATTGTTCGCCGTGATACGGTTGTTGTACCCAGACATTGCTGTTGCCTTTGTTTAGTTATGATTTTTTTTTGAATTTTAACAAAGTTATCGAACTGCTGTTCGATAATCGAGGGTAGTGGGGGGCACTGACAAATCCTTTAGATTTTTGAATACCTATCGAACCTCTTGTGTAATGGGCTACCAACGTGGCGGAAATTCGCGCGCGCGTTCGGTCGCTGTGACAACAAGCCGACGGGAGACCATCACACAATCGGATAGTAATCCAACCAAGCAAATTGGGTTAAATCCTATGCGACAACACGGGAAAACAGTTATTGAAGTAGGTACCTGTGCAATATCGTGTGGTCGATTTGTGAAAAAGTATATTTTCAAATGTTTCTCAACAACGCAAGAACGTGTTTTTTGAATTACCAAAAGCAATAATGTTTATACTTATTCTAGTATACAAAGTGTAATTTACTCACCCTAAATAAATTTAAAACCGCGAAAACGGTTTCAGCAGCAAACGCAGACGACCTTGGTCATGGACGCGTGTCGGCCGATCGGGGGTGAAATGCCGATAACCGAAGTATATTATCAATAAAATAATATCCCGTAAAACACTCGGAATCCGCGGTACGACGCGTAAAGCGAACGAATTTTTTATTATTATTATTATTATTATTAATATTACTATTAAAATTTCTTTCAACTGCGGCCTAGCGGATTTATTGCCGAAAACGAACGCGAGTGCATGTATTTAACCGACAGTATACCGAGGTATAAACACAATATTATTAACACGGTATATTATTATCGTACGGCAACAACAATAATTAAAATGTGTATAATATGTTTGGTGGTGGTGTAAGCGGTGTACAAAGTGTAGTGAAATGTGCGGACAAGAGCGAACGACCACCGAACTTATGCGGAGCACGTGAGACACTGAACGCTGAAGGGGTATGTGCGTCGAGCGACGGGCCGCAAAGCGTTCGTCAGTGCGTGTGTGTTTGTGAGCGTGCGCACGCGCGCGCTCTCTGTCTTTTGTATGTAGCAGCTGCAGCAGCAGCAGCAGCAGTCGTACGTCGCGACGGCGCTCGGCGACGGCGGCGGCGGCGGCGGAGCGAGCGAGCGAGAAGGGTGATCGAGAGTTCGGGAAGCGAGAGCGAGATAGGAGGACGGAGTGCGGAGCGTGTACCGCCGTCGTGTGTACTGGTTTTTGTGAGTGCGTGCCGACCGTCGTTCGGTGGTGGTACGAAATGCACTGCGCCGCGTCGTTCGGCCACAGTGATTCGTCGTTACCGCTGCCGTCGAGTTCACATGTGGTACGGGCGCGACGGTGCGTGCGTGCGTGGCCGGCGTTCTATTCTTTTGTGCTCGGCGGCGGTGGTGGCGAGGCCACAGCAGTCGAAGGGCGAAGACAGCTGCCGCTGCGAAGACTGTGCGGCGTTGGGTTGGGGGGCGGGGGGCGGTGGGATCTGTGATGTCGAGAGGGTAACGTTGGAGGCGGTGGAGGCTATAGCGCGAGAGAGCCGACCAAGGCGCCTGTGCAACTGCGGTGATGCGATGTTTTCGTTTCGGCGTGGTGCGAGTCTTATTTATTTATTTTTTCTCTTTCCCCCGACGCATCAACTGCAAAACGTCATCGTTGTCCCGTCTGCTCTGCACGTTTTTGAAACCTCTGCACCGGTGGGTTAGCATCACGGCCGTCGACCGGTGTCGTCGTTGCGGTAACACTCGAATTGCCTCCAACGATTTTTTTCAGTTTTTCAACTCGCTCGATTGTCCCATATGTTATGCCGTTTTAATAATTTTGATCGCTTGTGGTGCGCATAATAACATTATATTATAAGCCTATTTCTCTAAGATTTAATCACGAAAATATAAATAATAATAAATCATATTATTCTAGTAGGTATACTTCTTGTTTTTTCGCAGCGGTTGGGCCACTATGTTTTTTTTTTTTTTAATAACATGATTACAATTACAGCTACCTACTTCCAAATAAAAAGTAGCTAGCCATAGCCACTGTGATTATAATATTGTTTAATCGATGGTTATTAAACCCGAAAAATACCTCAATCATTATCGTAGTATACAATAGATAATTATCATGTGCTATATAATTTATTGTCTTCCATTATGGAGACCGTACGCTTTCTCTTTCTAGTTACATAATTGATAATTTTAAACCATTTTGAAATTTAGAAGTCCATTTTAATCATAGAACATATTTTAATTATCATCAATAGTAGGCGGTGATAATTTTCGTTGTGCTAGATTTTACAGTAATTCAGCGCTTTAGTATTTTACTAGACAGTGCATGTGTTATTATATCGATGCTATTATGTTTATCGTTAAAAAGTACAAACAAAGTACGTGTGCTACAATTAGCGTATTACTCACGACTGTTACTTTGTTGTGCCTATAATCGACGTATAAAATATAAACTATACCGGATAACACTTTAAAATATGTACATTTTTATTTATTTAATCAACTTAAGGTTTTGACTTTTTGTATACCCTTCTCAGAAAATTTTTTGGAAGAATTTTGGTTATTTTTTTTTTTTTTATTTGGGATTCCGCCGAAGTTAATAGTGGTTTTAATAACAATATATAAATACATTTTAATATGTTTTATTGGTATAGTGGCAATTCGAGTAAAAAAAAACAAACCAGCCTAGCTAGTTTTAGAAGGTAATTCGTGTCTCTAGTTATCGGAGTAAGGGTGCTGGATGCAGTGAAGTCTATGTGATAACGATAATTTTTACATATGATTCTCATAATAATAATAAATACCATTATTATTTTAAACGTATATACTTTTATTATAAATCAACAAATTTAAATTTTATTTCGTCATTATTAAAATTCTTCAATCCCTTTGTTTAAATAGGTATCGTAATAGGCACAACATAGGTACATACTGTAATTGATTGCATTTAAGACATTGGTAAATAATATATGCCTATATAGTGTATAGTAATTAATCAAAAATGATGTGAACTTTAACATATTATATGGTTACTAATTAGTAAGGAATTTACAGTTTACAATAGTTTTACAAAAAGACAAATAATCATTGACGAAGAGATTTTTGCGTAGGTATATATATATATATGGTGAGGATTCATATAAAAAAAAAAAATGAATCGAATGATATCGTTTTATAACTCGTGTTAGCAAATAAACAAAAAAATATTTTTTGGTGCAATGTTCACTGGACTGGTGCAAAGAAACCCTCACTTACGGTATTTTTTACTTTTGTAATTTTCTTAGTTTATTTGACCAAAATTAATGTCACACAATCATTTTGTATCACTAAATATTTATATATATGTATACCTATATTATATATAATACCTATTTAAATTAAATAACCAGATCACATCAAATGTAGTTACGTGACATTGCTCTCGTTATAATTAAACACGGAACTAATGAGCACAAAAATATCTTATTGTTTTGGAATATCACTATAATTTTATATAGTAGTATATATTATTTTAATAATAACGAAAGGCCCTCTTTTAACTTTGTTAATTAATAATACGTAAATAGATATTAAAAAATAATAGTGTATGGCAATTATTAGTGTTTAATGGTAAATATTTTAAAAGTTTAAAAAAATAATAATAAAATAGGGTTGGTTGGAAGATCTTTGAAAATAGAATAAAAACATTTTTTTTTCATATCAGATTTTCTGTCCATGATACTATAAGTTCATCTCATCTTACTTTTGAAATTCATCAAAACCACTTCTGGTAAATGTGAAATTATATACTCGTAAGTTATTAATTAAATATATACATACCTATTATTCAGATTACATTTTATGTTTTTTAATTAGTTAATTTATTTTATTATAATTATAATATAATATGTATATAATATATAAGATAGTTGTTTTAAATAATAGTAATATAAATTTTAATAAGTTTATTGTATACATATTCAATATACTCGTAAGTATAGCTAATATAATGTTTACTTATCAACAGGGTTAAAATAAAGATAAAATACAATTGGATAATATTTATTTAAATGAAAATAAAACTGAGAATGTTGCTTTGCTATATATTATTCAAATTCTGATTTTTGAAATTTTTTAATATAAATATAATATTTATATTTTAAAAGTTTTAAGATTTTTTACAATTTAAGGATGCCTTATGGCGATACAAATTACTATTTTTCAAATGAGAACGTCCCTTTTTACTTTGAATGATTTAGTGACTGCGATTATCGATCTATAATTTTTATTTTTTGAATAAATAGTTGTGTAATTATAAATCGTCTATAGAATATGTTTATTGTGAAAACTTTTCAACAAAACTAATTTTGGACTAGTCTTCATATCGCCTTTGGCCCCTAAAAGTAAAAACACACTAACCGTTTTAGAGGATTACACGCCTTAATGTTAGGATTCCTTGAAAAAATAGCGATGATTTTGTACCCGTTTCATACGATGCTTCTATTTTATAATCTCTAGTATTTACGTTGTATCGTATGTTTATCGCATATGCGTATACCACCGAGACCGTATACCGAGTAACCCATTCAACGATTGAAAATTACGAAATAAATCGAGAGGTATAACGAGGTTATTAGCTCTCCCTAACTGTATAAAACTTTATAGGATTTAAAATTGAAACTAATATAACGATTACATTTTATTTATAAAACGTTGTTATTATGTTTTATTATAATCCTAAGTAAAATATTATGTCTTATTATTTATAATGATGCAGTACTAATATAGTCATTTTATTTTGACAACTATGAGTTATGACCTATAATTTAAAAACCAAACATTTTTATAATTGCTGTTAATAATATTATCAATAAAAAGGTTTATTTTATTCCCAAGAGTATTTATTTTTTTGAATAATACACTTCATTGTAAAAATAATTTGAAAAATATGCTAATAATGTCACTAACAAATTTAAATTTGATAAGTATTAATTTCTTCTATGCATAATATGATACCAGTCATATAAATAAATATTACGGTTAAAAAAAAAAAAAATGAATACAAAAGATTAAATTCATTTAAAACAGTTTGCTTTAGATAGAATTTAATTAGATCAATAAACATTTTTTAAAACTATACATAAACAAAAAATTAACATTTATAGTAAGCCAATTATTTATACTATTCATTTAAAATGAATAGTGTTCAAAAAATCACCGTTGGCTTCACTGTAAAAAAAAAAATGACGAAAAGCGCTGGAGACCACTATAGCTGAAAATAATTATTTGAATTAATGATTTATCAATAACTATTAATATATATAGTTACAATATTAATAGATCTTGCAAACAATTAGAACAAATTATAACTTTGTACGTAGTTGTATTCTACGCATATGCGGGTTTCCAAAGTTTTCATTATACATTTATGTAACTGTAGTAAATAAATTAAAGTTATTAAATACAAAGTTTTATACTTAATATTTTACTTTACTGCATGTACATGATTATTAATCAAACATATATTGCTTATCATAATTTTTACTTTTATGATTGTTGATATTTTTAATTGACGTTATATTTCTAAATACTTTATGTGTTATGCAATTTATTTATTTTTTTCATGATGATGCAATAACTTATTGTTACCAATAAAAACCACAATTTTTACTAAAAGTTGATTAGCAAACGATTTTGAATAAATTAATTAAATGTTGATAGATATAAACTGAAAATTTTGCAAAAAGTTTTTGATTTATGGAATATTAGATATATACCTACTTTGGATAATATTCAGTATTTGAAAATATGGTCTTGATTTCTTGAAGCATACTTTAAAAATTGTGAATTTGAATAAATACATTGTTAAAGTGTTAAAGGAAAAAGTTGTATAAGCATATTATACTTGATTTTACATTATTATGAATAAAACAGTGAAAGTATCCTTATTTTATTACCTTCTTATGCGTATCTATTATTATTTATTATGTTAGATAAATTTATTTTTATGTTTTATTATATGTTTCGAATTTATATAAGCATGATTATACCAAATTTAATTAAGGAGTAAAAGTAAAAGTTACAAACTTAACGTATTCACATAGCGTAAAATAATATTTCATTATTTTTACAACTATTGATTAAAAATATATACTATCTGCAATTTAATTAACTTTTAAACGTGATGACGTTAATTTGTACAAAAAAAAAAAAAAAAAAAACTAAACCCAATAAGTTGGTTGATTAATGAAGAAACTAACTAACAAA